AAAAAAAAAAGAGAAGAGACAGAGACAGAGACAGAGAGACAGACAGAGACAGAGGGAGAGACAGAGAGACAGACAGAGACAGAGGCAGAGACAGAAAGACAGAGACAGAGGGAGAGACAGACAGACAGACAGACTGACAGAGACCGGGAGGCGTAAACACGTCTCCAGGAAGGCGAGTCGGGGTGTCAGGGGCGGACCCGAGCAGCGGGACACACAGGGGTGAAGTCAAAGTGCAGAAAGGGGACAGGTGGGGGGGCAGTGCACGGAGACCACGTGGACGCACCTGTGTGTATCCCAAGGGGGCAAACATGACATCATTACTTGGAGGTGACTGAACACACGAGTCGAATGGCTTTTATTCCTAAGTGACAACTGTAAGAGGAGATTTTATGATGGAAAAGCAAGTGTCAAGGCCTTTGCTTAAAAGGGCACCTTTCTTTCAGGAGATGCACTGAAGGGGAAGGAAGGAGTCTGTTTACAAGACACACATGGAGGACAGCTTCACTCATCTTCTGAAGTGTGTTATTTTAATTGCAGCCCCTGATTTCACCTCTCTTCCTAAAAATGAGCGTTTTGCTGGGCCTGTCATGGACGTACAGTGACGGGGTTGTGTGGACAGTCACGCACCCACGTGACACCTCTGCCTGGATGTCCTCTTGGTTCTTGCCTTTGTGCTGCCTCCACCCCGCAGGGCTGGGTCTGTCCTCTGAGTGTCTGATGGGGCACAGCCGTCCACCAGGCATCTGTGGTTGGTTTGACTGAGAGCTTGCTTCCAGGTGGAAACAAACACAGCTCTCTGTGACTTTTTACAACCTAATGAAGTTGTGTGCCCGGCTAGGCGTCAGGGCTCCGTGGCTGCCCCAGGCCCCAGCCTCAACGAGCTCAGAGCTTATTAACAGTTCTGACTGTATTCAGCTCAAATGATGCGATTTGACTAAATGGGTTCAAATGAACAGAATGTGGACGACCTTCTCGTGGCTCGTGGGAAACGGCATTCAGATTTACGGCACTGTTTTGTCCGAGGAAATTTCCTACCTTTTTGTTAAATTGAACTTTAGGGAAAGCTCAGTTTCATGGAGTGAGATGTTGGGCAGAGCAGCCATCGATGAAGAAAGAACGGGGGCGCCTGTGTGTTTACTATGCTTCATCCCTGAGATTCCAGGAGCTGAATTTCTGTACACTCCGCACGGCAGCCTCGGAGAGCTCACACGCACCCCAGGAAAAGGGCGGGTGTCCGGGGCAGTCCATCCACACAGGAGGTCACAGCTTGCCCAGCCTCTGCCGTCTGGGAGCACCAGGATGTTGGGGCAAAATCCTCTGGCCACTAGGTGTCCCTTTGTCACTTAAAGAAATCAGGATGTTAGTGACTATAAGGTACGTGATGCTAACACAGGGCAGTGCCCCTTCCTCCAGGCAGGGCTGGGAAATCACCCCCTTGGGCTCGTTCTGGCCAACGGGCTGCAGACCACAGAGGGCTGAATGGGGTTTGTAATGTATTAGGAAATTTTTTTTTCTGTCGTGGAGAGAAGATCCGTCTTGTCAATAACTTTGCCTAGATCCATCCCAGAGTCCGTGTGTTTTGAGGATCCTTGGACCCTTGGGGGGGTGGACGGGCCTGCCTGGGAGGGGCCCAGCTGCAAGGAGGGAAGAGACGGGTTTGAATTTAGGGCCCTGAGCATTATCCACACAGCAGTCAACGGTGTGACGTGGAAGGCAGATTTGACCAGAGATAGCATCAGCTCTTCATTCCTGGTTGTAAGTCGCCCCTGCTGCCCCAGCCCCGGTTCTGGGGCGTGTGAAGTTGTGTAGCTGCTGGTGGCCATGCAGGGCCCAGACCACCCAGGACAGTGAACCAACCCCGCACTTCTGGATGACCAGGCCACTACCCCCAGCACGGCCAGGCCCACGGGCGCTAAACCCGTGGGCTACGGGGCACTGGGACGGCATCGCGTTGTGGTAAAGCTGAGCCACAAACAAACAGGTGTGAGCAGGGTCCAGTTCTCCCCGGGACGCCACCACTGCCAACGGAGAAAGAGTGACCAGCGGGTAACGCTGGCGGCCGCGCCGAGCCCAGGGGCCGAGCTCACGTCTCCAGCGAGGACACACACCTTCTCTCAAGACGCACACCCGGACCCCATCACGGGAGCACCAGACACACCCCAGCCAGAGACAGTCCACAGAAGCACAACCAGACCCGGCCGGTCTTCAAGGCCACGGTGCTGTCCACCAGAGGAGGTGAGGGGGACGTGACCAGTGAGCGCACCGTGTGGCTGCTCCTGGAAGGGACCCTGCTCCAGAGAAAGGTCCCTGGGAGATTTGACGCGGGCCGTACATGAGTCAGTGGCATCGAATCAGTGCCAGCTTCCTGGCCTCGCTTGTTCCCTGTGGTTACGACGCGTAACCGTGGGGAGCTGGTGAAGGGCACACGGGAATTACTTGTATTTTTTCTGTAAGTTTTTGCAGGTCTGAAATAATTTCAGATTTCAAAAAATCTAAGAAAACATGAGGCGTGCAGTGACTTTCACATAAGATTTCACAGAAGGGTCTGGTGACAATGCTGCACATTCTAGGGCCCGAAATAAAGCGGAGGGACAGAGGGGCCGTCGGTGCTGGTGTCACCAAGTCGCTCCCCCCCGCCCCACCCCAGATGCGGGAAGAGATCAGGGCAGCTGTGATCGCCAGCCGGACGGGGCAGGGCTGGGCAGAGATCCTGACCACTGAGCGTTTCCTCTGGTCCTACTTAGAAGAGGTTTCTGATTCTACAAGAGAATTAAGCTGGTTTTGCCTCAGTGCTTGGGGCTTCGACAACGCGGAAGGAGCCAAAGGGCCCTTGCCATGAACTTCAAGGTCAAAGTGTGCTCACTGGACCCTACCAGCCTCCTGGCTTCTTCCTCCTCAGCGGAGTGGGTGGCATTTACACTGTTCTCTCTCCCCTCAGGCTCAGACACTGCACTGTCCTGCTTGATTTTGCACAGTGACAGCGAGGGAGGGACGACGTAGGAACTGCTTGCCCTTTGTGGGGGACAGTAAGACCCTGAGGCAGGATGACTGGGGCCCCAGAATCATCACCACCAGGCACCAAAGCACAACCCAGCTTGATTTCACAGGAGAGCTTATGATAACTTAAAGTCTCCTCAAGTATAAAGCAGTGATTTTGCAAGGGCATCTTTCATGATTTGTGGCCTTTGGTGGAGGCGCTAATGGCATCGGAGGGTCTGGACTTTACACTGAGAAGACGATTCTGTATTTTGTGGCTGCAGCGTGTGTGGGAGTGTTTGTGGTTGGACACAGAGATTTCTGGAATGCTGAGAGAGTGGGTCATCACAGTGACGTGTTTCTATCTCTGGTTAACCCAAGGCCAACCAGGAATCTTTTGTCTTTGCTTCTTTTGCTGCAGACTTGGCCTTTTTAGTAAGTATGCACATGAGCTACTCAGGGTGTTCAGGGACCCAGCAGCACCTGGGGGACCTTCTGGTGACCACTGTCCTGATGACCGCACGGCAGAGCTGCAGCTGTGGGAGCTGGAAATACGGGAGGTGGGCAGAATGTTGCATGAACACAGAACATTCCATGCAGGGGTGCCGGCATTGATCACTGACCTCTTGCTATAAAACTGCAATGTTCTCCCTCCCTCCCCAAATCTGGCACATGGAGAGTTCCCAGGGCCTGAGATCTGACTGCATCTGCTCAGGCTGAAATGTCTGGCTGCTGCCGGAGCTGCCCTCGACCCTGCAGGGAGGGGCTGCCCACGTCACGCCCCGTGCAGCCCTGGCCTGGGAGGAGGCCAGCCGGCCTGACCCTCGCTCCTCTCGAGAAAACCTCCACACAAAGACCCACCCCCACAAAGCCCTGGCAGCCCCGAGGACTGACCGACAGTACCTTTGTCTGAACCATGCGTGGCCTCTGGTCCCTCAAGTGCTCCAGGGTCGCGGCAATGTCGAGCTCTTTAGCGCCTGCAACAAACACAAATTGGGCTGAGTTCAGGCACAAGACAATCCGCGCTCTGCGTCCCTCGCCTGCTGCCGGGATCCCCTCAGGGCTCAGCGGCCAAATGACAATGACAGTCATCTCTCAGCTGCCCGGCTGGCAGGCAATTTCAGGGTTCACACAAGAAAACGGGGCAAGGCGGCTTTCATTAGCATTGATTCAAGGCTGGGCTGAAAAATGTTATCAGATGCTTATATAGATACCCACAGCAAGCTGTCGCCAGGAGGGACTAATGCTTTCTTGATTTTTTTTTTTTTTTGGTGGCATTTTAAGACTTTTATTTATTTTTTGGCTGTGCTGCACGGCTTGCGGGATCTCAGTTCCCCAACCAGGGATTGAACCCAGGCCACAGCTGTGAAAGCCCAGAATCCTAACCACTAGGCCACCAGGCCACCAGGGAACGCCCAAGAATTTTTTTTTAAAGATATTTTTGACGTGCACCATTTTTAAAGTCTTTATTGAATTTGTTACAATATTGCTTCCATTTTATGTTTCAGTTTTGTGGCTGCGAGGCATGTGGGATCTTAATTCCCTGACTAGGGATCGAACCCACACCTCCTGCATTGGAAGGCTAAGTCTGAACCACTGGACCACCAGGGAAATCCCCCCAACAATGTTTTATTTTTACTTACTTATTTATTTATTTATTTTTTGCGCGGGCCTCTCACCATCGCGGCCTCTCCCGCTGCGGAGCACAGGCTCTGGACGCGCAGGCTCAGCGGCCATGGCTCACGGGCCCAGCCGCTCTGCAGCATGTGGGATCTTCCCGGACCGGGGCACGAACCCGTGTCCCCTGCATCGGCAGGCGGACTCTCAACCACTGCGCCACCAGGGAAGCCCCCCCCAACAATGTTTTAAGTCATAGGAAGTGGCATATAAACCTTAATTTCTATTGCATAGGATTTTTATTCAGAGAAATGAAAAATTAGACTAACTAATCTGATACATCTAAATACTGGCTTCTAAAGGCAGTGTTCCCTGCCTGTTAGAAGTGAGTGTTCCAAATGTTAAGAAAAGGTCAGGATGCCGCACGTGCTCACGGGTTAGTCGTGTGGCCTAGATCCCTTCCTACAGACGCACCCACCTGACACCAGGTGACTTGGGTGCCACAGAAATAATACTAATTGAGTTTAAAAATGTAACCTTACGGATTCCACGTATATTCTTGTTTTTGCATCTTGCTAGGTCCTTTGGTAGCTGGACAACAAACAAGACCGGGTCCCAAGCCCATGAGCTTCTTACAGTTCAGAGGGGAGCGTCTCACGTCTGCTGTGCAATCCTGTCAAATGCTGGGGGCTTGGGCGGGGCGCACCTCTGAAGTCGGCTGGGACCCCCAAACCAACCCCCAGTAGGTGCATGTCACGCGCAGCGTTTTGTCTCACGGTGCCAGAACTGTCATCACTCCCTGTTCAGGGGAAATTGAGGCTTGTCCCGGTCACGCAGAGCAGGTAGCTATGCTCATCGGACCCAGAAGTGGAAGCGAGACCGGGCTGGTGGCCACCAGGACGGCTCTGGTCTCCCACTTCCATCACGCCTGCGTGTGCACAGCCCTGCCCTTGGCCGGGAGCTGGGAGGCGCGCCTGAAAACGTCCAAGGCCGCGGCAGCCTTAGTGCCCTGGTTCATCCTGGAGGCCTGAGGCCCACGTGGGTGACAGCTGAGCCGCCAGCACCTTTTTCCGAGTGGCAGGGAGATGCTGCTGGGGACACGGATGAGGGTGGGAGGAAAGGTGGGGGGACCGCACACTGTCTCAGGGAGAGGGTGCCTGAAGTGGGAGGGGCTGGCAGCTGGAGGGAAGGTGGGGACGGCTGGGAGGTAACACATTCCAACCAGGTGCTGTGCTCGCATCAGGGAAACTGCCACGAGTATTGGGAATCCGGCAGTAAATCGCTGAGACCGGGAGGCCAGGATCCGGGCTGACCCACCTCGGCCAGCACGGTGGCCAGTCTGAGTGCCTCGAGGTGTGGGGACAGTGTGGCATGAGCTCATCACATCTAAGCTGGCCGTCCTTCCAGACAATGAACGCCCTCCATCAGGTATGGGAACACCCCAAGCCCCCCCGACTCTTAAATCAAAGTCTTTCTAGGCAGTCTTTCTTTCTGGGGGATCCGCCGAGAAACTAGTCCAGGCGGAAGACAGGGTCTCCTCCTGCTTTCCTGAAGGCTCCTCTGAAGGCGTCAGAAGTTTTCGAAAGCTGACAAGGTCACAAGATGTACAGTCTTGTTCTGGGGGGAAGCTGTGAGTCCAGAACAGCCTGAAACAGTGGGTGAAAGAGGAGCTACGGGGGCCACGTGTGCAGCGGCCCCCGAGTGGCCCCTGTGGCAGGAACCTGCTTCCTCATCTCCCCAAAGGAACAGGGAAATGGGTTTCTTCAAGCCACAGGTTTGCCTTAAGAAAGTGACGTCCTACGTGGAGAGCGAGCAAGGGAGGGGCTGTCCCACCCGAGACCTGAGTTCTCGTCCCCCCAGGAACACCCAGCTGCCGGGTCAGAGTGGCTCCTCTGGACGCAGCACGGAGCTGTTGCTGCAGTTTAATTCCAAGCGTGAAGAGGCCCGACTGTGGGCAGGACCCAGAAAACGCCACCTGGGCGCGTCTGGGGCGGGCGCGAAGCTCCAGCGGGAGCAGAGCACCGAGGGGCCTCGCGGGGACCCGCGCGTCAATGCATGGTGACCGCGTGATGCACAGAACGTATTAGCTGCTCAGTGACTGTGACCCCGCGGCTTCTGTGAGCAGAGCCTTCTGGGAGAAGTGCTATCTCTGGGCAGCTCTGTCCTCGCGTCCCGTGGACGCCAGGAGAACGAGGTGTGGAGTAGAGGCTGATTCATCAGCTCAGAGACAATCCTAGTCCTTTAAAAACAAAATCCTGAGGGGTCCGGACTTACCCCCCCCCCCCCCACCTTTTCAGCTTTGCCC